CGTTGATACAACTGTTTGAGGGATTGTTTCTGTGCCCCTCATTGCCCAGACCAGTGATTCTCAACATGGGGCAAAGCACTGTCCCCTAGGGCAGAGTTTTTAAAACTCACCCCCAGAAATCAATGCATTTTACTTCACGACATGGCACACATACGTTTATGCATATGTAGCTGAAGCAAAGATTTCAGAAATCTTATTTTAGTAATTGTGATATACTCTGTTTTCTCTTAGTTTTTCTTAGGTAGGAGGACTGGTTGAGACTTTCTCCATTGCTTTCACTTCCCACTAATGCTGTGTTCTCAGTGTTGTTTGCCCAGAACAATCATCTAGAGAGCTTATAAAAAATTTCAATGTCCAAGCCCCACTCAGGAGCAATTAGAATTTCTTGGAGCAGGAGCCCACAAAGCTCCTTGGTGAAGGCTTTGCTGAATCTTGTGGCTTCTGACCACTTCCTCCTTTGAGCCTCACTACCAAAATCTGGTCCAACCTTTTTTATAGCAAGTAGTGTCTGGTTTTGCATTTATTGACATGTTTATCTTAGACTACGGATTTCTTGAGGGCAAGAGAATATTTCCTTCATCCCTGAGTCCCCAGCATCAAGCACACAGTAGCCCCATCCCTAAAGACTTGTTTTGCGCATAAATGGGCGAGCAAAGTAGAGAAGAAACCATCTCCTTCTTTGCCTTCCTGATTCTTCTTTGTCTTCCTTCCTGGATGTCCTTGGTCCTTACTACTCTTGTTTTGTTTTTCATTCACTGGCCATTCTTCCTTAGCCCATTCCTGAATTAGCAAAATTGCCCTCAGCCCTCTCCCCACTCTGTACTCTCCCTGGCGATCTCATCTGTGCCTGTGGCCTCCACTGCCCACCGGCTGATGGCTTCCAACACTGTGCCTCTAACCCCGCCTCTCTTCCTCCATCCAGACTGATTTTCCAACTGTTTGGGTAAAGCATTATCGTTGAGACCTTGGCTCCAGTGTCAGGGGCTGCAAGAATGGGTTTAGGTTCCAGCTCAAACACTGTCTCTTTTGAATTTAAGATCCATGTTGTCCTCATTAATGAATTTGGGATGATGGATGGTATTCAGTTTGTAGGGTTGTTTTGAGGATTCAGTGAAACAGTGTGTCTAAACCTCTTAGCACAGTGCCTGGTTGCTGTAGAGTTGGTGCCCAGTAATTGCTAGGCAGTATGACTGGACGTCTTCATCCGAAGGTCCCGCTGTTCCCCTAAACTGTTCCCTAAGCAGCAGCATCCCTCTTATACCTCTTACCTGTTTCCAAACCTCCTGACTTCCTCCTCGGGAATGCTCACATCAGTGGGACCTTGGTAGACACAGATGTGATATGGGGCTGGGAAAGACCTTCAGGGGACCCTGGCATCTCCACAGCCCTCGGTGTCTCTCAGCCAGATGGTTAAATCTGCCTGCCTTTTTGCCAGGCTCTCTAGTGCAAACTCCATCGGGCCTGCTCCTGCCAGACTGAACTTTGTAAGATGCAAAGCAAATCTGGCCATGTCGTGCCCCTGTCAAACCCGCGTGGCCCAGGGGCTGTGTGACAAATGCAGTCTTTCATTATCTGGTCCCTGGACCCTGTCTTCCACTTTGCCCTATAATACACCTTGTTGTTTCTTGCCTTGGTACCTGCTGTTGCTCCTCCCAAAATACCCTAACTTCTTGCCCCTCACCTGTCACGACTGTGATATTTGTCCCCTCAGTAGCTCGCTATCCACCTAGAACCCCTAATAAACTCTCAGGTAACTATTTAATCCCTGTATGTTTCCCATTCTCCATCCTGCTTCCCCAGCTGGCGAGCTCCTTGACACCAGGCAACATTTATTATTATTATTTTTTAAAAATGTGACTCTGTGTCCTGAGCTGCCAGCCCAAGTCCTTACATATAGTAGGAACTCAGTGATCTGTGAATGAAGAAAATAGAGAGTCTGTGCTTTGGAACGAGGAGACAGTATAATCAGTTCATACCTTTATTTACCCTGCATGAGTATGTGTTCGGTAACGTGACTCTACTGAACCATGAGTTTCTTGTGCAGTGCTCTGTGTTAGAGGCTGCAGCGTGTTGTGACATGTCTTGGGAACAGGAACTGTCTGACAGTGTGTTCTCTTCTGTTATTCAAGTTGTGCACTCAGACATTTGACAAACATTCCTTTGGGCACTTTGTACCGGGCACTGAGCAAGGAAGGCATAGGAGCGTATAGTAATCATAGCACAAAGATCCTTCTAATTATTATGTATCTCCTCAAATCTGCACCTAGGTTAGCTCGTGAGATCAACCTCCTCCTAAGTAGAGCAAACAGAGACTCATATGAGAAATTTCTTTTCTAAGGGAATGCAGCTAATAAGTGAAGAACCAGATTGAACCATGGTCTGCCTTATTTCTAAACAGATCGCCCCTTTAAATACTGAATGCCACCTCGTAGGTACAAATTATTGAATTTGTCTGAGGTGCTGAATATGAATTATTCTGATTTAATTCTCCTAACACTCTGCAAGGCATTCTCTACCCTCATTTCTGGAGAGGAGATGGGCTCAGAGAGGTAACCTGTGTGGCATCACACAGAACTTGTGAAAAGTGGTGGAGCGGAGACACTCCTTCAGGTCTGCTGGACTCCCATGCCCATTCTGTGTCCACTTAGCACGTGGCATGGTCTAACCAGGGGGCAGAAGGCTGCAAGGGGAACTGAAGATCAGTGTTGTGAATGCAGGAGCAACACAGCAAGGGCGAGGAGCTGCTGGGTCAGCAAGACAGGAATGGGGGTAGCTGTTTAAGCTGTGTGCTCCAAAGTATGTTAAGTCACTCACTTATTTATTCACTCATCCATCAACTATTTTTGGGCACCTCAATGAGCTGTGTGTACTAGTGGCAATTGATACAGAGAAAGGCAAAATCATCGAAAAAAACAAACCAAACCACGTAGTCTTAGGAGAAAGGGATAGGGGATAAGACAGAGAAACAAATGGCCCACAGAAATAAGTGCTATAAAGAGCTTGTCACCAGGTACAATTTACCGAGCATGGAAGGTAAACCAGTAGCCTCCCCTGGGTTATGATGAGTCCGTTCCATCCAGCTTCTTGCCAGGCCTGCAATGCTTCCTGGGATCTGTCGTGCCAACCCCTCCAACTTCCGACTTTGGTTCTCAAGGTTGTCAGATTCCTTTCTGCCAAAGGGCTTTTGCCCCTGCTCTTCCCACAGCCCGACACGCTCCTTCTCTAGCCTCTGCACTCAGGATGGCTCAGTGACTCCTCCTCGAAGAGGCCTTCTCTGCCGCCCTCCCCACTCACTCTTTGTCATGTCATCTGGTCCTCCCTCTACTCCCAGCACCAATCACCACCCGAAAGTCAGTACAGTTTAGTGGTTAAGAGCATGGGGTCTGGAACTAGCCAACTTGGGTTCTGATCTCAGTTCTGACATTTTATTAGCTAAGTAACCTTGGGCAAGTTATTTAACCTCTATGCATCTCAGTTTTCTCATCTGAAGACGGGGACAGTAATAATGGTACTCCTATCTTAGAGTGTACTATTGTGGGGATTAATGGAGTTTGTATATATAAGGCATGAATAGTGCCTGGCACTTAGGAGGTATGTAATAAACCCAAACGAGTGAATCATCTTATATTCACTCATCCATCCAGTACGAATTGTGTTTGCATATATGGAGACTCCAGAATGCAGGGCTAGAAATACAATAGTGAGTGACTAGGGCAGGCATTGCGTCTGTCCACGGGGAGCTCACTGCCTGTTGGAAGCACTTCTCTTGTTGACACAGGTGTGCGTTTTTGTTGTAAACTTTTCCTTAGAGGTCATCTAAACTCTTCCTATTCATTCTAGTTTCTATCCTCCTTGTGACCCACTTCCAGTCTTGGGGTTCATAGTGCTCACTGCACTTATCATGGCTTCAGATGACACAGCAGTCTGTGCATTTCTATACCCACATGATTTGTCGATTGCTTACGGTTGGGTCCCTTCCTTTAGCATTAGACTCATTTAGAGGTTTAGCTAATGAGGAAACAGTAAAAGCTCACCAAGGAGATGACAAAACCAGGAAAATAAAAGAACTACTACTTCTTGGTTTCTTCATGTTCTGCTCTTACTGCTTAGAGTGTCCCACAGCCACTCAAACGACCCCTTTCCCAGAGTCTGCCTAGTTTTTTCTCACTTAGATTTCACCTCCTCTTGGCAGGAGGTCTTCCTTGACTTTACAAGACCATGGGCTCTTGAGTAGACCCCTGCTCACTGCTCTGGGAAGACCTGCAGCTCCACCGCAGGGTAACTGTCTACTCCACTGTCTCCCCGACGTGGCTGCGTGTGCCGCATGGCCTGGGCCATCTTTTTGTGTCTCATTCTCCATTGTGTCCTCAACCCAGCAGCACGTTTTCCCTGTTAACAAGTAGCATTCTTTATATAAGTATCAAACTTAGGTAGAGGACAAGAACCAATAAAGCAGGTAAATTAGGAAGCAATGATTTTTACTATATTACAAAGGGTCTATTCACTTTACAAAATAACTTTTTTTTCAGGATTCCACTGAATAGGGAGTCAGGGCTATTGCTATTAAAATGACCCCCGCCCCCAACCACAGTGGCTTGATGCCCACAAATAAACTTTCTCAATTATGTAACCTTCATTGTAAGTGTTCAATGAGCTGCCTCCCAAACCCTGCAGCTCCACCATCTCTATGCCGTTGGGGTCTTCTGCCATTGGCTGGCTGATGGGAAAAGAAAGAAAAGAGAGTCCCACAAGAGGATTTCTTCCGGGCCACCCCCAAAGTGGCACACATCACTTCCCATCCCATGGACCCGAGCTCCGTCACATGGCCCTACAAACTGCTAGGGAAGCTGGAGAGACATTCCAGCTGTGTGTCCAGGAGGAAAGGGCGAATGCACAGCAGCATCTGCCCTGGGAGCCCACAGAGGGTGTAAAGCGAGGCCCTTGTCTGACTGCAGTGGGAGTGAAGAGCTGAACTGATGTCAACTGTTTTGGCTTTGCAGACAAACTCGTGTGATCAAAACCTAAGTCTTTGCCTTGAATTCATCGAACAAGTTGCCAGGGTACAGGGACAACTCTTTGGAATCCTCACTATAACAGCTCAAGAAGGTGAGACTACCCTGTGCCCGCCCCCGCCAACCCCTTTTTAAAATCTTTTCTTCGTGGTCTCTGACTGAGTCGGGGTGGTAGGACCACACTCGCTGACCTGGCTTGTGGGTTGTTTTAGGAGGACATTATGATGGTGTGCAAGTAATCAAATCGCGCCTTCTGCCGTGGCTGGAGGCCTCCTTCACTGCTGCTTCCATGGGAAAACCTGTTGACAGCAAGGTCCCCTCTCTGCAGGTATGGATGCCAAAGGTTCCCCTTGACTTTCAGCACCTTGATCAGGCTCCGGGAACTCAAACATAGGTTTTGACCTAGAGAGGGTCTCAACTCTACTTTGGGAAATTGGGACACAGGTATAAAAGGTGAGTTTCTGTTTACAGTAGTATGGGGTATATTGGATTGAGTTTTTTCTTCAGACAGACCTGGATTCACATATCAGGTTTGCTTACTTTCTAGTGGTGTGACCAGGCCAGTCAATGAGCCCCAGCTTCCCCAGCTGTGAAAAGGGCTTGGGGATGATCTCTGTGTGGTGCACTGCTCGGCCCACACCAGGCATTCAATAGTAACTTTTAAAAGACAAAAATAGTCACGCAGACAGTTGGGGTACCACGGGGGCTCAGAAGAGAAAGAGATTATTAGATAAAAAAGCTCAGTATTCTGAAAGAGTGAAATGAAATTAGTTGGAAAATTCAAGATAAGAAGAAAACTCCATTCTGGTCGACTGATAAAGGGTATCCTAATTGGTGGCTGGTCTGGGTGGCTTCCATGGACAGGGTCAGTGTTGTAATAGCTGAAGATCAGACTGGAGAACATATACCTTGCTTAAGGCATTGGCATTATTATTATTTTTGTTTTTTGTTTAATATTTTGTTAACTTTATTTGATAATTATTTTATTTTATTTTAATTTTTTAAAAAATTTTAATCAATGTTCAAATTGTATCTGGGTAAGCAAAACATTAGTGACCTTGATTTTAAATGTCTACATGGATCTCCATAAATGGAGATCCCCCATAAATGTCTTTCTAAGTGGAGGCGTGCTGAGCAGGTTATTCTAAGTAATGGGGCCTCAGGAGGTGATGGCTGAAGGGTTTCTGTTAGGGGTCACTGGACAGAATTCTTGTCCCTGTTCTATGGTCCTGGGTAGATTGTCTAACCTGTCATGTCTTAGTGTCTTTGTGTGCTAAATGGGGGGCAATGGTTTCACTGCCTAATGGGGTCATTGGGAGAATTAAATGTGATAAACATGAGAGGTAACTTACATGTTGTAAGTTTTCTGTAAACATCAGTTGTCTTTAAGCAATATTTTCCCCTGGGGATTTTCATATGCCTCTTAGGTTTTTACCTACTATGCATGTTATTCTGAATATAGAGATATAGGATGATATTTAAATGTCTTTTTTTTAACTTGAGGTATAATTTACCTACAGTGACACCCATAGGTTGATGAATTTTGACAAATGCATGTTATATCCACATAACTCACAATCCTACTAAGATATAAAACATTTCCCCCACTCCGGGGCATTCCTGTGCCACTCCTCAGGCCTGTCCCCGCACCCCAGGGCAGCCGCCCTTCTGATTTTTCCATTCCAGGCCACTTTTGTCTGCCCTAGGACTTCCTGCAAATGGACCCACATGTTATGTACTCTTTATTTTGTGCTTGGCTTCCTTTGCGCAGCATCATACCTGTGTAGCCTGGCCACGTCGTTTCACGTGTTCAGACTATTTTTTGACGCACGTATCTTCCCAGGACACGTTTGATAAGGAAAGACAGAAGGAGTCTGGTGCTCGGGATCGGGACTTGCAGCAGTTAGACTCGGAGCTGAGCGAGACTCGCAGCCAACTCAACCAGGTTCAAGACGAGTAAGAGGAATGCAAGTTATCTTTTTCCAAAAAGAGTTGTTTGTTCTTCACTTTAATTTTTAAGTTTGAAAGGACAAGCATGTACAATTGTTTGCTAATAATAAATACGTGTGTGTGTGTGTGTGTGTGTGTGTGTGTGTGTAGTGGGTGTCTGTGAATCTGGGGCCAGGGTTTCCTCAGTGTGTTATGGTCCCTACAGCCCAGGTTCTCTTGGCTCCATTCCTGGAGCTCCTTCCTTTCCATAGGCCCCTTATTAGCCCATGTTTATAAACAGAAGAAGATTGTTACACGAAAAATCTACTTTTTAGGGAGAAGAATAAGAAAAGATACAGAGGGAACGGGTTAAGGAGGGCAAACAGAAAAACTAGGAGAGGAAGCAAGATGAAGCAGACTGCGTTTGTTTGTCAGGTGCACTCATCTGGGGGGTGAGACTGAGTGATCAGACTCTTTACATGATGAACAATTCAAGAGTCTGGAATAACCATTAGTTATAAAAATGTATTTAAAAAAAGTTAAGCAGTGCCAGGCAGCAACAGATATCAGATTGATGCTGTGTGCAAAACCAGGGTAGCAAGCTGGAGGAATCCCTGCAAAGAGAATGGCTGACTTTGGGTTGTACTTGAGGAAGGGATTCATACATGCATGAAATGGCATTTGACGTGCCTGACAAAACGCCATCCATTAGTAAGGAGTTTCCTCCTCCCACGGCATCGATCCACTGTTGACCTGTGCGGGGCAGCAAGGAATTCTTTTTTCAGTAGTTTGGGCTTCTGATGGGATAGGGCGTGGCCTTCTGCCTTGTTCTCTGACGAGATTTCTTCCTAAGGCAAACATCTCTATTGATTTCGTTTTGCCTGATTAGAAAATACAGATTTTTTTTCTCAAATTGCATACAACATAAGAGGATAGAAGTGCAAGTCACCCGTTATCTCATTGCTGTTAATATTTGGGTGTATTTGACTCCAGACCTTTCTCTTTGTGTGTGTGCTGCGTGCCCCTCCACACACCCCCGTTCACTATTCTAATTGGAACCTTCACCCACGAGCAGTTCTATAGCTGCAACAGTCAAAGTTGGCAAATGTAAGGTATAAAAAGCATAATTCCTCTGAATTTCTGCAACCTAGTTTAGCCAACATCAGCTGATTTTGGAGTGGGAGGAAAATCCTTAGGTTTGCTCCTTTTTTTCTGGTTTGTTGTAGTTCCTTTTGTGTAAATACTCAGTTAATTGCAAGTCCAGACTTTCCTCAGGGGCCCTGTGTACCCTCTCCAGGGGTCTCGTTGCCCTCTTCCTTCCTCAGACTGACATCTAGGGGCAGGGGGGTGCTTGCCTGTCCTCCTGGTGCTCAGGGAGAGAGGCTTTGGTCTTGTACTGCCTGCTGGGTTCTTGCACAAAACAGTTCCATCGGGGCACTAAAGCCTTGTGCTGATGGGTGCCGTGCTGTGGCTTGTGTGGTTAGGTCTCTGGGGCATTGACTGGCCGCTGCTGCTGCTGACTAGGTGCCTCCATTTGCCTCTTGCTGCTTTGAGATTGTGCTGGTTCTCTCCTTTGCCTGCCCCAATAGGAGCCAGGAATTTCTCCCTCCCTCTCTTGTCACCATAGTTCTGTATAGTGTGGTTGTGTGTGGAGTTGGTGTCTGTGAATCTGGGGCCAGCGTTTCCCCAGTGTGTTATGATCCCTACGGCCCAGGTTCTCTTGGGATACTTAGATATAAGGAGCACCTCAGACTAAGAAACTATAACTGCATGCATTTTTTAAACTTTTAATTTGCAAGTAATATGAAATACAGAAAATTTGCAGTAAGAGTACTAAGAACACCCACATACCCTTCCATATGGCTTTGCCCTGTTTGCTCGATCATCTGTGTGTGTGTTCTCTTTATCTATACATCCTGGTCCCCTACCGTCCGTCTGAAAGTTGCATACAGGAAAGTCCTTGTTGCTTTTCTCCGAATTTCCTAGGTTTTTTGTGTTTTGTTTTGTTTTATGAACCCACTTGTGGTTCATATTCTATTTTTATTTAAGGCCTCACACGTTCTGTGGTAGCCAGCTCCCCGCTCCCTCTCCTACTCTGCCTACTTGTCTCTGAGGCCGGGGTGTTACCTGCTGTGGAACGAGTGACCCACCCAAGGAGGTGCCCCTGTCTGACCTTGTGGAGACCAGCTTGGTTGTGAATCAGCTCTGAAGGTGCACATTCTGGCGCAGTGCTGAATGGCTCGGGCCTGCCCAGGACTGACGAACTCCAGACAGAGGAAGTCTGTTCGATTTAATGCCTGGACTCTGGTTAGGAATCTCACTTTTCTGCATTTCCTATGTCCTAATCAATTAGACTATCCAGTTGAATCTGCTTTCTAAGCATCTCCCACACTTGTCCCCACCCCCCCTTTTTTTTCTATTTTACTGCCCTGGTTCTAACTTCTGATACCTCTTGCCTCAACTCATTGCCTTCCAACTGGTTTCCCTGTTTCCATTCTTGGCTACTGCAAGCCATTTCTCACACAGAAAATATTTTTATTGTATTATGTCATCGCCCCACTTGATAGCTGTGAGTAGCCTTCCTAGGGCTCTGCAGCCCTGCACGACCTGACCCTGCCTCTCACATCACCCTCACGCCAGACTCCCCGCACCTGGTCTGCCGTCTGCTGCTGCTCCCCTGCGAGGCCTTTGCCTGTGTCCTTCAGAGACATGGAAGTCTCCCGCTGGCCACTTGCATGGCTGGGTCCTGCTCGTTCTTCAGGCCTCAGCTTAAATGTGACTTTCTCAGAGTCTGTTCGTGACCACTATACATCAAAAGGTCTTCAAAGCCTTTTTCTCTCCTTAAATTCTCTTTCACAGTTAGGAATAGCACTTCCTACAATTTGGAGCCTTCAAACAATTGCTTGCATATTTGTAAGCCGGTAGGCTGGAAACTCCCAAGGGTTACTTCCTTGTACTGAGGTTTTAACACTGTTGTATCTTCAGCACCCAGCATCATGCCTGGTGCATAGTGAATTTTCAATAATTTGCTTAATGAAAGAATAAATCCATAACAAGAATTTAAGTAAATATTCATATGCTTAAAACAATTCTTGGCACATGAATGTACCTCCCCTTCTTCTCTCTGTATGCCATCCAAGGGCACCAAATTAGCATGTATGTTTGCTTATGTGTATATGTGTTCACACATATATGCCATGTTCTGAAAGGAAAAACCTGCTTTATTCCTGCTTTCTGCTCCTTCATTTCTTAGCCCACTTTGTTCATTTAATTTTTTTCTACAGTTTTCTCTCTCTGAAGTGTTCATTTTTCCATAAATATTTTTAAAAACCTCAAACACAGTCACATTTGAACTAGATTACAACAATCTCCTTGCAACTTGCAGTAGGCCTATTGTGAAGTTACTGCTTCTATGGCTTTATTTCAGGCTTTAGACATTTTGATCATTCATGTTTGGGTTTTAAAAAATATATCCTACTATGTGACAGGCACTTTTTTAGGTGCCGGGGATAAAGAGATGAATAAAATAAAGTCTTTGTCCTCGAGCAGTGCACAGTGTGTCTGTGGTGAGACTGCCAGCATGAGCCGAGTGTTGCAGGAGCTCAGGAGAAGGGGAGAGCTCAAGGGCGGCCTGGAGGGTGGCACTCGGAGGATGAGGACCTGTTGTGTGGGCCGAGGTGGCAGCGTCTCTCTCTTAGCCTCAGGACTACTGTGACGAAAGAGTCTGGATGTTCTAGGGAAGTAGGGTCCCCTAAGTCGAGACTCCTTTGCCAACCCATGATCTCTCACAGCATGAGGACAACTTAACTGAGAACCATTGGTCTTCATCCACTGTCATCCAGGACATTCCAGTTTCCTTTTAAATTTAGGTAGGCTTAAAGAAATAGTGCATTTACTATGATTTGCCTGCAGTGGGGAGAGTCATTAAAACTAACAGTGACCGAGTTATGTGAAAAACTCAGGAAACTCGTGCTTAATAAGGGATGGAAGTCAGAGGCAGAAACACACAAGATAGACTGTAGTCAGGTGTAATTGTGGAGCACTTTATAGGTGGGCAAATAATTTTTTTAATATTTAGGAATTCTGGGAAAATTAAGTCAAATTCAGCTTTACTGTGCCAAGTAATCAGAAGAGGCAGTAATATATTGCAGAAAATGAAGACCTTATAGAGCGAGGCAACCTGGACACCTGGTGTAATTAAAGCAGACGGATTAGGAGGGTGAGAAGGAGGAATGGAAAAACTTTCTTTGTCCTTTACATTTTACTGTTAATAGTTACTACATAGTCTTTTAGGGGGTTGTAGCTTTATAACTTCTTTGTGTTTGACACAGGAAAGATGCTAGCATGCTTTTGCATCTAAGTGCAACATAACGTTTCCAATGTCATCTGATTGAATGCAGATGTCTTATAATTTGATCTTGTTTATGTCAAATTTGTATCATATGCCAAAAGTTCCCGAGAGAGAACCTATGCCTTGATTTAGAAAGTCTGCCAGTTTTGGAAAATCTGTCTTTAGTTACTGATTTCTCTTACAGTCTGGCTGAAAGCGCAAAGCCTCTTGAAGCAACCAAGAACAGATCGGCCATATCCCTTTTGGCTGCAGAGGAGGAAATAAATCAGCTAAAAAAGCAGTAAGGAAAAAAAATGACAGGATTATTGCAGCCCACTGATTAATCTTTGAATTTAGCTTTTTTGGTGTTCCATTACAATATGAAAGAATCTGTTCACAATCAAAGAGGAAAGGGAACAATACTTTTATTAGTGTTTTATATATTTTTCTTGCTATAAAAACGTTACCTGTCTACTAAAGAGGATTTCCAAAGTACAATGTAATATAAAGGAAACTAGAAACCTTTTCTTAATTCTAGAACCAGTTATTGTTACCATTGGATATTTCTTCCAATTCATACATTCGAAGTAGAGTTAAGACTACAAAGTAAGTGTAAGTTTACAATTTTGGACCTTATTTGTTCACTTAACATTATTTTTCTCTATCACTAATGAAAAAAAACCCAAACTGCTGCAGAACTTAGTTTTGAATGGGTGCATTGTATTCCATCATTCCGGTATTTCCCTAAGATTGACTATTTACTCTGATACACTTTTCAACATTGGAAATAACATTGTGATGATTTCTGTGACAAATCTTAGTTTAAATTTCAGACTATTTTCTAAAGATAAATTTCTAGAAGGAAAAGATAAATACTGATCCTTCCTTGGTTTTTATTTTGATATTTTCACCCCAAAAAGAGCAAGTGGAAAATGTATTAAAACCTATATGTGTAATATATATATATATATTTCCAAACAAATATATATATATATTTCTAACCCTGGCTGGCATAGCTCAGTGGATTGAGCATGGGCTGCGAACCAAAGTGTTGCAGGTTCAGTTCCCAGTCAGGGCACATGCCTGGGTTGCAGGCCATGACCCCAAGCAACTGCACATTGATTTCTCTCTCTCTCTCTCCCTCTCTTCCCTCTCTAAAAAAATAAATAAATAAAATCTTTTAAAAAATGAAATATATATATATTTCCATATGAATACCATTCCATTGCCTTCGCACATATTCCGATTGTTTTGATTTCTTCAGCAACATCCCTAAATTACATTTTGGAGCACCCTTCTGCTTTCCACTTCTGTCTCCCCTCTCATCATTTCAATCTCTTATTCCTATTTGATATACCCTCTCAAATGCATCGATCAGATTACCCAGTGATTCTGTTCTTTACTGTTTCTAGCACAGCTTTTAATCCTGCTGCTGCATTTTTAGCATCTCCCCATGCTTCTCAGTCTTACCCCTTCCCTTGTCATCTTACACCGCTGTCGTTTTCCTCACAGCAGGTCCTCTTCTTATGGCTTTTGCTCCTGTCTGGTGACGGCCATACCTCCTTGTATCTTTACAAGGATGCCAATTTCATTTCTAAAGCTTTGTTTGTTTCTGTCATATGTACATTATTTTCATAGGTCACACTTCTATCCAGTATTGTGCATGATATTCAATTTCCATTGTAATTTCCCCCCATAGTCCATCTTCAGAGATAATATCTTTGCCTGGCTTCTGGACAAATGCTCCTAGAATTTTGTGCAGTTAGTATCAGTCCAACCTAAAACAGTATGACCACAGGCCCACTCTGCTTTTGCTAGAGGATCTGCATATGTAACTCTTGTTCAAGAGCCTTTTCCAATGCAAGCTGCAGACACGGAGTGGCCCCCTGACCTGGCTAGTCTACTCTTTGTTAATTTGGTTTGTTCCTGCGTATTTTCATTCGAGTTTTACAATGCAATAATGGCATACGAAGTAGAGTAGCTTTTATTTTAAATGTGCCAACTGTTGCTTATTACCTTTCCTTCTTCCCTCTCTTTTCTTTAATTTTTTTTTCTTGTTCAGGCTTAAATCTCTTCAAGCCCAGGAGGAGTCCCGCCACAGAAATGCAGCGAATAGGATCTCTGCGCGTAGGACTGCAGAGCTGCGCGCTGAGCCTAGGACCTCTGAGCAGAGAAGAACGAAGGATCTCGGCTCGGACAAGCGCGGTTTGGACCGGTCAGACAGGCGCATCTCGGACAGGTCGGACAGGCGCATCTCGGAAAGGTCGGACAAGCGGGGCTCGGACAGCTCCGACAGGCGCAGCTCCGACAAGTCTGACTCAGAAGTGATATCTGATTATGAGAAACAGCTCCGAACGCTGAAGGACGAGATCGCTGTTCTGTCTGCTGAAAAATCTGTACTCCAAGGAAGGTCCGGCACATTCTCACAGAGCTTTTCATTTAAGTTCCTTTTGTTTGTGATAAAAGCCTGGTTTGGGGGAAAAAAGTAAAATGACATCCTTGAATCCATACCCCTACAATATGGGAAGCTTTGAAATGTAAGGTGTTTGTTTTCTCTAACTGTACCTTCCCAGAGAGAGAAACCACCTAGTGGGTGGCCAGTACTTGGGCACCAATTGACTTGGGGCTGACATTGAAGCCTAAGGAATGAAGCGGAGAGGTCTGAGAAAGGGAAGTTCTTTGGCTTGAAACTAGACAGACTGGGCCTGCAAGGGAAGAGGGGGTACCCATATTGCAAGAATGTTCCATGAAATGAGGGTCCTGTTCTCTTAAGGCCCAAGAGTCTTAGATGACTAACTGTCATTTTACTGTAGGCTATTTCCTTTTTACAGGTTTGTTTGAGGAAAGAGTAGGTGAGTGTTTTGGGAAATCCCTCACTACACATGCACAGACATTAAGACATGTCATTCCAGCAGTGTTGGGTGAAGACAGAGTAGGCTGTTTGTTTGTCTTTGGAGTCATTGCATTTTCCCTTTTCTTTCTAACCTCCCTCTCCCCAGCCTGATAACAAGCCCCAATTCAAATTATTAAAGCCACCCCCAAGCCAGGTCCTTGTTCCTCTAAATGTCACCTCAGTCTTTCATTTTCGGGAATCACTCCTTCTCATGTTGTGCTGCTGCTGGCTTGTACCGGCTCCTGAGAATGTATTCTCCACCTTTCTGCTTGAAAGGACGGCCATGGTTGGAGTATTTTTTGCACCATGGAAATTGACAAATACTATTAATGAGGGCTCCCCCCACCCCTTCAGTGTCCACTTTGCACTACCTTATGCCCCATAGTTTCTTCTACAACACTTCCCTTTTTGGGGGGGGGGGGCGGGGAGGAACATTGTTGTTGGGCTAGTGTGATAATTTCTGTTGTATTTGGTAGCTATGAACGTTTTATAGATATTATGCTTTCCAATTCACCAAATACTGCCAAGTATTAGCTCACTTGATCTTCCAACTCCCACCCCACCCCCACCCCCAGCCCAGCAAAAATGATGCAGGTAAAAACTGAGGCTCTGGAGAGGAGAAGTGATTGCAACCGCTCCCCCTGCTGTGAGGTGGTAGAGCGTAGAGCTGGAGCTACAACACAGACCTTCGTTCTCATTGTTCCGTGTTCATCTCATTTTATACCATAAGGCTCCCTAAGGCTGGGGTATGAAATAAAGAAAATCTGACTTCTTTAACTCTGGCTCTTACTAGCTGTGTTACTCCAGGACAGTCAGTTAACTGTTCTGAACTTCAAGTTCCTCATCTGTAAAATGGCCGACAATCAATGCTGGCCTCACAGGGCTGCTTAAAGGATAATTCGAGGTGCTCAGTGAGTGTGAGTGCCTCATCGATTCTAAGTCACCATGGAAACGGAGAGTCTTGTTTCACGGCTGTGGTCACATTTGAGGCCTTATGGAGATGCAGTGCTTCCCACAGGCCTGGTGGGGGCGTCCTGGAGCCACTGCTTTTGGGCCAGAGGGCCCAGTGCTCCCAAGTATTTACAGCTGATGTAGGAGAAGCAGAGTCCTAGAAGGACAGAGAAGTGAATCAGAGGGCTTCCCTGCTGATTCTTGCTTACCAACAGGTCCACCAGGAGCCGGTCTCCAAGTCCTGTCCCTCGCAGCCGCAGCCACAGCCGCAGCCACAGCCGCAGCCGTACCCGCAGCCGCAGCCGCACCCGCAGCCGCAGCCGCAGCCCAAGCCGCAGTCGCAGCCGCAGCCGCAGCCGCAGCCGCAGCCACAGCCGGCCAGGCAGCCCCTCCACCGCAGTGGTAAAGGTCAGGACCCCGTCTCCAAATCGCGCCAAACTATCCAGTGCAGCGCGCAAGGCTGCCCTCGTGTCCCGGTTCAGCGATGCCTACTCCCAGGCCCGCCTGGACGCGCAGTGCCTGCTGCGGCAATGCATCGACAAGGCCGAGACGGTGCAGCGGATCATCTACATCGCCACAGTGGTATGTGACGACACTCTGGCCTAGCCCCAGCGGCTCTTGGGCGCAGCAGGGAGAACGCAGTTTGGTAAACTGAACAGTACAGCTTAAAAAAACTGGTAGATCCTGAGGTCCCTGCAAGAGGGTGTGATTTCCATGTGTTCCCCTTCCTCCCTCTTTCCCAGTCCTTCCATTGCAAATATTTGGGATGAATCATTTTTCAGAATCAGTAAATATTCATTTGTATTATTGTTGATATTGACTAGACACTTTTGTACTATTTATAACTGTAGGACAATCTTGGATGAGACTTTGATTTGCACAGAATCTCCCCAGTGGGCATAGATATACCAGTGGGTATATTATTGCTAATGGCTATCATTTGATTGATTTCCTTCCATTCTTAGAAAAGTCAGAAGAGTAGTTACTGAAACTGCTACCATATCAGCTACTTGAGTATGGCAGATTAAAAAGTGCTCATATATATATAATCCTAATTCCCAAAGCAAATGAGTTTGTTCCTTTGGTACCATATTGAGATATTGGGTCCATAATGAGAACAATTAAATATTGAATAAAACAGGCATTGGTATGAGAGTAGAATTATCAGTGTCTACTACACTTCATCCTATATTTATTAATTTATGTTAAGGGTCAGCAAACTAGAACCTGTAGACCAGGCGTTGGTCAAACTCATTTTCACCAAGGGCCACATCAGCCTTGTGGTTGCCTTCAAAGATGTGGCCCTCTGTGAAGATGAGTTTGACACCCCTGCGGTAGACAATAACTGGCTATGATCTGTATTTCTAAGAAAAATACCACCTGAGAGCTAAGATTGTATAAGAATAGTTTTACATTTTAAAGGGATGTAAAAAAAATGTGACCAGCAAAAACTAAAATATTGGGTTGGCCAAAAAGTCTGTATGTTTTTTTCTGCAAAATAAAAGACATTTTTCATTTTCACCAGTAACTTTATTAATTTGGGTATTTTGAGAATGTCAGCGATCTCCTTTGTGCTAGAACGTCGATCATTCTCAATGTCTCGATTTGATTGCTATCAACTTCAGCTGGTCCATCTGACTGTGGAGCATTGTCCAGAGAGAAATCTCCAGCATGAAACTTCACAAACCACTTTTGACATGTTCGATCAGTCACAGCACCTTCTCCATACACCATACAAATCTTTTTTGCATTTCAGTTGCATTTTTACCTTTCTTAAAATATACACGCTGAAAATGTTGCTTATTGTATTCCATCTTCCATATGAAAATGGCTACACCAAAATTCATGAATTTTGCTAAGTTTTTAAAAAAATGCACACTGACATGATAACTGTCACAATACAATCTGACAAAATTGTTTTGAATGAAGTTAAAGACTACTAATTGCTACTAGAGCCATCTAATAGAAAAAACCAAACGAACTTTTTTGGCCACCCAATATATACTATCTGGCTCCTTAAAGAAAAAAGCTTACCAGTCTCTGGTTTGAGAATCAATGGCTGAGTTGGTTCAAGTTCTGTAAGTGTAGAAGCCGTGTCTTTTCTGTGTAACTAAGTTTTCCCAGTGCTGACTACACAACAGGCACTAAATAAATTTCTGTTGAATATGTCAGGAAATATGCCCAATAATCTAGTGTCTCTGTGTAACAAACACTAGATTGATAATTTTCTCTTATTTTTTTGACCAATAATATGGTTTTGCTGGGGGATGATAGCACAGGCTAGCATTTTCCAAGTATTTATGTAACCACAGATGATTTATTTCCTTGAACTTCTGTCCTGCACTCCATATTTCCAGAACGATGGTCCACGATCTTTAAATTAGTGAACATGGACAGTCGTATATGTATTTGTGTACTTTTCAAAATTGAGATATACATTTTCTCCCAGATTGAACATAGTTTTTGACCAACCGTGTTTAGTTACCCTTATGATGTTGAATTTTTGATGGATGCAATTTCTTCATTCCTTGCTTCAGACCTCTTTGCTCCCCTCCTTTCACCGAATAAATCTGCTGCAATTTTTATGTGCAGGAGGCATTCCATGTAGCTAAAATGGCGTTCAGACACTTCAAGATCCGTGTGAGGAAATCTTTGACACCATCTTATGTAGGGTCGAATGATTTTGATGACGCCGTCTCGGATTACATCATTTGCCACCTTGACCTATATGATTCCCAAAGCAGTGTCAACGTAAGTGCTGGGTCTCTTACTGGGGCTGGTGCGTGGAACACTGATGACCCAGAAACCCATTCAGTGCCTCGTCTCTGTAATGGAAGAGCAGGAAGGAGCAGCATCCGATTTACTCTGTAGAATGAGTCAATATTGGCTCTTTCTTTCCCCCACATTGTATGGGGGAAAATATTCTGAGCTCTGTAGTTCTGTTCTTTAGATCAGCGATTTTGAGCTAGTATGTCGTGGCACACTGGTGTGCTGCAAGAATTTTTAAGACATTGAATACCCGACTATTCAGTCAGGGGCACTGACTTCTTTTCTCTTGGACTGTCAAATAACAAAAATGAAAACAACTAACATAACAATAATCATCTGGTGTGACTGAATCAAAATTATACTTACTTTTTTAATGTCAGATAGGTAAACAATTTTTTTGGTGTGGGGCAGATTTTAGTAATTAGTTTGTGTGTGGCATGAAATGAAGAGGATTGAAAATCTCTGCCTTAGATGGGCCCTTAAGATCAGAAGATAGAAATCACAGCGCCTAAGATTTTGGGAAAGTCAGTGTGGGATTTGCATCCTGGCTCTGCTGCTTACTAGCTGTGTGACCTTACACATTTACTCAACCCCTCTGTGCCTTAGTTTTCTGATCTTCAAATGGGAGCAGGGATGGTCACCACCCTATAGCATTCTTGAGAGGATTAAATGAAAGAAAGCAGATTATTTGCTTAACACAAAACTTGGCATGTAGTCAAGTCTTAATAAAAGCAATCTATTATAATTATTATTATTACAGATTATGAACAAGTCAGAGTTCTGTGTTGGTGCATCATATAACTTGCCCAGAATTTAGGAAAAAAAGGAAAGAATAAATGAAAGCTACTTAGGGTTTTTTTCTTTAATTTTTCTGAGACTTTGGCCTTTAGTGTGTCATTTGTACTCTGCCATCTCTCCTCCTTCCCGGTTAATGAGGCTTCCTCCCGTTAGCATATGTACTCCCTTCCCAGCTTACCTGCCTTCACTCCCGTTTCCTTTATCCCCCTCCATCCGTCCTAATGTCCTTAGGGTTGTCCGAGTTTCTGGTCACAGGTTGGTAACAAGGTGATGCCGTCTTTCTGTTTTTCAGGATGTAATCCGAGCCATGAATGTCAATCCCAAGATTTCGTTCCCTCCAGAAGTCGACTTTTGCCTCCTCAGTAACTTCATCCAGGAGATATGCTGCATCGCCTTTGCAATGCAGACTTTAGAGCCGCCCCTAGATATCGCGTTTGGGGCCGATGGAGAAGTTTTTAACGATTCCAAGTAAGAGACATAGGAGCAGAAGCTAAGGGACATAAATGTGGTCTTGTCTCTATTTCCTGGGAACAATTTAGGGAAAAGAACGCTGGGTGAGCAAATGAACAGAGACTGCCTGATTTCCAGGTCCTGCCACGTCCTCCTCTGTCACTATAGGACGGGACCCTCTCCTGGGGTCCTGTTCCTTCCCGGTCAAGTGTGATTCAGAGGGGGCAATATGGTTTTCATAGATCATATTGATCTTGGGGAGACCTAGTAAGTACCTGAAAGCTTTCTGGAACATTGTGAAAGAAAGGTGTTGTATAAATACAAATACATATTACTTTTTATTGTTTAAAGGCTTTTTATTGAGGTATAATTGACATGTATAACTTTATATTAGCTTTGCCCACGTTTATATTAGCTTCTTATATCTCTTAACATAATGCCCTTGAGGTCTATCCATGTTGTTGCAAATGGCAAGATTTCATTATTTTTATGGCTGAGTGTGTGTGTGTGTGTGTGTGTGTGTGTGTATATCACATCTTCTTTATCCATGGACACTTAGGTTGTTTCCATATCTTGGCTATTGTAAATAATGCTGCAATGTACATGAAGGTGCATATATGTTTTCGAATTTGTGTTTTTGTTTTCTTCAGGTAAATACCCAGAAGTGGAATTGCTGGATCATATGCTAGTTCTATTTTTAATTTTTTGAGGAAGCTCCATATTGTTTTCCAGAGTGGTGCACTAATTTATGTTCCCACCAACAGTGCACAAGGGTTTTCTTTACATCCTCACCGAAACTTATTTCTTGTCTTTTTGGTGGTAGCCATTCTAATATGTATGAGGTGATGTCTCATTGTGGTTTTGACTTGTATCTTTTAATGTACCTATTGGCCATCTGGATGTCTTCTTTGGAAATATGTCTATTCAGATTCCCTGCCCATTTAAAAAATCAGATTTTTTTTTTTGCTTTTATTGGTTTTTACTACATTATTTAGGCCAGGTTTCTCAGAGCATGGTGTATAGATTCCCTGCATCAGAATTGCTCAAGATATTTACTGAAAATTCAGGTTCCTGGATCACACACCCAGTGATATTTTATGCAGTAGGTCTGGGGAATCTGTGATTTAAGGGGCCGAGGAATCTGCAGTCTAGGAAGTGCCTGAGTATGCGTACACCGACATTTGAAAGTGACTGCCTGAGACCCTTTTATCTAGGACCATTAGACTTCTACCAAGTGTTACATGGTAAATGTTTCCTTTATAAATTAGAAGAAATGAAATTAATTGAGAACACTTTGCTGACACTTCATGAGATCTTATGCTCTAGCTGGAGATTATCTGGGAGCAGGCCAAGTGGTTAAGGACAGAGGTTCCAGTGTTGAGCTGCCTGGGTTCCGGTCCTGGCTCCACCACAAATTAGCTGAAGAATCTGGGCATGTTATTTAATTTTTCCATTCCTTAGCTTCTTCTCTGTCAAATGGGGGAAATAATAACCCCTACGGTCTAGGGCTGTAGAGGTTCGTTGAGTTCACGCAGATAAAGTGCTTCAGGACACTGCCTGGCACCTGGTGCGTGCTCAGGGAACGTTAGCTTGGGGTCTTCCTTCAGGCTGCAGAGTCATGGGACGTGGCAGCCCCCTACTCCTGCAAGCTTGTGCATGGAGGGGACCACGCACCTCTCTCTGGCCTATGAAAATCGCAGCGATGGTGTTTCTGACTGCCTTAGAGTCTGTCCCATTTCCTGGCCATTGCCTTATTTCTAGTTTCTTTCAGATCACCGCTTCCAGTGTACCTCTACTCCAGGAAGAGCTGAATGTTAGAACACAGCACTGCTGTTGGGTCTTTCTGGTTCTCTTACAGAACATATCTGCATCCTCTTTTTAAAATTTCCCTTTTCCTTTAGAGAACGTATGGTCCCACTCAAACACTCGTCCGCTTTGGTTTGTGGGATCTGCACATTTCGCAGACCTCTGGCGGGCCCCCCGCTTGCATGCCTGTAATCAGAGGGAACATGCGGTCTCTCGGGGCCCCCTGTGCACTGTACTTCTGCCGGGCTGTGGAGCGGAAACTGGAGCTCCTCGTAATGACTGGGTTTGGTTCCACCTCTTAGGACTTCACAGTACAAGTCTAATTCTTCTTCTTCTTCATTTTTTTTAAACTCTGGCAGCCTTTCATACATTTAAAAGCAATTAATCAAATTCTCCTTCTTCTGGCCTCGTGCCTTCAGGTTTTTTCCATATGAAGTGGGGGGTGTGGAGACTTCTCGGCAAACAGAACTGTTTCCTTGGCCTGTGCTCCGTGCTCTTGTGAGCGCGTTCCCTCCCAAGGCGACACCCAAAGTAGTCGCCTGGTCTGGATTGACCAGTCTAGCGGGACTAACACCCTTTCCATTCTTATTCTCTATTAACTCAGCTAATTTTATGTTTTTCCAGCCATATAACACTGTTCATTCATTTGGGGTTCAACTGAAATCTGTTATATTTTTACTTTGGCTGTGATGAAGCCATTCATTACCTCTATCTGTGTAGTGAAATGCTTTCTAGATTCAGTTGCAGGACCCCTTAGGCATCCACGTTACATGGTGTCTTACTAGATTCAGCTAATTTTTCCAGGCAGCTGAGCTATTTTTTGATACTGTCATCTGTTGTTTTCTTTTTCTGACCCACTCCCCACCTTTTAACAATTTCTCTGTAGTCCATGCGAAGCATGGGTGGTTACGTTGGCTCATCACAGCATTGGCAGACAGCCTTTGCACCTTCATTCATGTTCTCATCGACCCATTAAGCACCTCTTTTTGGATGTGATCATTGAACCAGTTTCCAGCCCACTGACTTCAGTTAATCACCCACTTATATTTTGTCCACAAAGATAGCATGAGAAATCTTATAGGGAGCCAGTGGTACTTCACATGGTCTCTAGTATTTCCCTGAATTGCAAATTGCATAATCCAGAGAAGAGAAGACCAAGGTTAGTCTCACATGACTTGTTCTTAGTGCATCGGTGCAGGTCCTCGCTATCCCTGGTTCCCACTGTAAGAGCCCGCAGCCATCTCTTTAATAAAAGAATGAGGACCCATATTTATCTAGATCTGAGCGCAGTCACAATGGAAATGTACACTGACATTTCCCCCTGGCATGCTGCATAATTGCTTAACTTCTCTTTCTCCTTCCTTTGTGTGTTTGACACAGGTACCGCCGCAGCTACGACTCCGATTTCAGTGCTCCCTTGGTCTTCTATCACGTGTGGCCTGCCCTCATGGAGAATGACATTGTCATTATGAAGGGAGAAGCTGTCACCAGGAGAGGGGCTTTTGTACGGTGGCCTTGCATAGTGACAATTCATCCCAAGTGTTTGATTCACAAGTTCGAGAACATTTATAAACCCAGAGATTCTATAAAAGAAGTTCTTAAAGAGTTGCTTGATAAGATTTCATACAAAGGAGAGGAAAGAATAGATTCGTTTGATTTGTCCATCATTCTTCATAATTTCCTGGCAGTAATTTCAATGTTTGTTGCTTTATCTATAAGATGAAACTAGTCCTACCTACCTCCCTTATCTGATAATATTAAGCTATTATAAGGGCAAAACCCATTGACCTCATGTTATGGGAGGCCCTCTGTAACTCTAAGCATTGAAAAGTGATTACCTTTCAGGAAACATTTTGCCAAATTTTTATTGTCAGTTCTCCATTTGGAGAAACAATCAATATGGCCAGTTTTTCTCTCCTTAGTATGATGTGTAGGGAGGGGAGGGGTGGAAGAAAAGAGGGCAGAGGAGGTGGGGAGAGAGGAGCCAATCATTGGGAGATTCTTCCTGTGTACGTTGGTTGTAGAATGTTTTGAATATGTGGAATAATTGGATAACCTTCAAAATAGATATGCAAGTGTCTGAGTGTGTGTGTGTGTTGTTGTGCGCACTGGGTGTAGAAACTGGTGGCCATGAGCACTTGGACATTCTTTAGAGTGAATTACAGAGTTTGTACCCTGCCCTTCTTAGAAAGAGTTAATTAGATTATGAAGTGAAGCTCCTCAGTCCCCATCACAGCCACCATCAAAGGCGCCATTGGGGTGGTTTCGGTTCCTGCGCTCTGAGCTGGAGGATAGGGGATGTGCTTCGTGCAGCTTTTCACCCATATAGGGGAGAAGCGAAGTCCTGTACTTTGAAAGAATTTAAGACAAGGGTTTTTGCAGCTTAAGTATCCTACTTTAGCTAATCGTATCTCAGTAACATACTCTGTGCAATGAAAGTTGAGCCTGTAGAAACCAGGATGTGTTGGTCTGAGAGCCACATATGCTGTACAGCAAATGAGCTCCTAACACACACTTCTTGCCCCTACAGTAGTTACTCTTCCTTAGGAAACTCTTACTTCAGAAACAGCCACTATTATATTCTACATCACATAGCAATCACCTTCTAATTTCCTTCTCTCCCATCAAGCATAACACTAACATCTACCCAAGCTTAAACTCCTAATAGCAAGTAAGAATACCCTAAAAGGAAGAACTTGGAAAAGGAAAGGGTTGAATGAAACGAAATTTTTTAACAAGGATTTTTACAATACTAGTGAAATCTCATTACAGTGAATATAGTTTTCTTCTCACTCATTAATTTAAAGGCGTGGCAGGCAGCAATGGTGATTCGCTCAGTCACTCAATCCACTTCATTTGTTCAGCAGCAAACAAAACAGCTTGCTTTCTCCAACACTTGCAAACTCAATGTAATTCGTAACAATTTAGGCATCAAAACAAAGTCCTTCTAACACCAAGATTGTGAATATCCTAAAGTTCAGTGTGAGGGGACTTTATTTGAGAAATACCGTAAAGTCATTGTCACATATCAGGCAACTATGGTACATGAAAGGAACTGATGCCCAGTGATGGGCAAGTGCGATCACGTCAACCAAACCCCTCTCTGTGTGGGATGTGCATGCTGTTTGAAGCCATGGGAGGGTGTACGAGCGCTTGCCTACTTTTCTTTCTCTCTCACTCTAGTGGAATTCGGTGAGACCCGTGAGCCGATGTCGAAGCCGGAGCTTAAGTCCCATCTACCCCCGTAGCCATATTGGTTTAAGCACGGTACGTATCTAATCATTTTTACACAACATCGTCTATGGTTGACGTGTTAAAATTCAATGGTAGCTTGTAAAAGGGGCGATTGGAAGTCTGTAGGTAGAAAGCAAACCTGCTGTGACAACCCCAAACTGATTCGGCATACTACCTTGGCCAAAGGAATCGGTCATCTAGAAAGAAGTAGAGGTAGTTTTTTTTTTTTCTGAATTAGTTGGAAGACTGATAGACTTTACTTATTTCATCATTTTAATTTTGTCTTTGAAAGAAAATGGGTTACTAGATATCAGTTACTGGGCTACTAGGAGCCTCGGAACAGAAACTGGGGCACCTTCGTCAGCTGGGCTCAGCATGGGTCCCCACTCTCTCAGGAACTTACTAGATGCTTTGGGGAAACCGCTCAAATGACCTGGATTTCAATACTGTATAAAAGGCATTGCAAGTATTAATTTTCCTCCTGGCTTAAAAGTAAGAAGAATAAGATTAGTCCCTTTTCATGTCAGTTCTTGGGAGGATTATTAATACGTCTGTCAAAGAAAAAAAATAATAGCAGTAATATCTCTCTGAAAACTAAAAATACTGTTACAGTTCCCCATTGTTGATTTATTCAACAAGTAATATTTAGCCAATGCCTTTTAAATGCAGGGCTGGACTGTGACATGTGGACACCAGACAGGCTAACAATGTGCTGTTCCTTCAAGTAAAAAATGTTACAATCGTGTTTTAGAGAGAGTGGTGGAGAAGGAGAAACACGTCTGGTAATAGTCCACTGCTCCGAAATTAGCTAAGCAGCTGTAGCCCCAAACTTCTACCTGACTACTGCCCCCCATCCCCACCCCTGCCCCAGCAAAACAAACATGAAAACCCCTGCAGTGATAAGACCGCCCTCTCTCACTGAGTTCAGTGAGCATCTAGCGTTACTCCACCCACTGCATTACATCCGGTAACGTCCGTGTTGGATTCTGCATTCTGTATTTGGTGGATGCTAGATTGGGGGGCACGGAAGATGGGACACAAATGTAACTAAAACGTGTTCTCTTCCCTGAATGGGTTTCAACATAGGGAGATCAGTATGATTTAAACAAAGTAATTGAAGGTGGTGTATGATTAGGTTCCTGAAAGAGGCAGAAAGTGCTAGGCTTATCAGAGGCGGTGAGGTGCCTTCTGGGCCTGGTGGTGAGGAAGGGATGCATGCAGGCGTTGGGACTGGATCTTGCAGAATTTCAGTGAGCTTGGAAGCCAGGGAGAAAAAGTCCAGATGAAGGAAACGGCCTGAGAATGGAAAAGGCATGAGTCCAGACATAGTTCTTTTGCTTTTGGAGATTTTAATATAACTTAATTGTCCTTGTTCAGGACTCAGTATTCACAGTCAGTATAAGCAGAAGGATGGTGCATTTAGTAACCTGATCAATAGAAAGGAAATCTTGAGTTTTATACTGGTAGATCCACAGCGCTCCTCAGTCTAAGAGGAAGTGGCACGTCAGAAGAAAGAGCAAATTAGACCCCTACTCTGCTGACATCCTCGGCAACTGGTACCTTCGGACCCTCCCTGGAAGGAAGACACTCGTGGGCGCAGCCCCTTGTTAATAAACCCCTATCCGTGTCTGGCCCACCTCCTTTCTCCTTCCCGCCACGTGTCCAGGGGGAACAAAGTAATTAAACTTCAGAGGAGAACAAAATACCTCCTCAAAGGTGAAACTGCTGCCCAAATTCTGTCCCTTTCCACCATCCCCTCCTTACAGCCAGACTGGTAGCCCTGCAAAGTAAAATACAAACAGTGTTGGTTAGTCTGGTCTTTGGCTTAGCCGAGGGCGTGCCTCCAGCCCGGCTCCACCTCTGTTCCTGCCCAGCCGCAGTGTTTGGGGGCTCAGAGCGAGAGTGCCGCTTGTGGTCCGTTATTTTGGAACCGGAACAGGTAGTGGCTTCTGCTTAGTGAAAGCAAAGGTGGGATTTGAAAAACGTTTTTTTCCTGGCTGCCTAGTGACTCTGCTTAATCAGGCTGTGTTTTGGACACATGAGATAATTCATATAAAGGCACTGCTGGACAGTGTTTGACTGAGCTTTAATTAGTTAATCATAATCCTTTTCTGGAAAGCTTTGAACTCAGTATGGCCACTGAGCGTCAGATCTAAGTATTCAGCAACCATTAAACAGCAACAACAAAAAGCAACAAAAAACTGGGACACGGAGCCCAGCTTTTAATGGATGATATAATTTAAACTAAATTGAGTGCCTGTTTACTTTGGGAAGTAGTCAAGGAAGCGCAGTGCTCAGCCTTCATGGGGGGAATCCTAGTCCTAATGAGTCTCAGAGCAACTGTGTAGCTGACGCTTCAGGGGGAAAAGGTCAGAAGGGCTCACTCATTGAGCTCTGCCTGCTGTGTGACCCCCACTCTCCTTGCCTGTTTTCCAGCTGCCTCGAAGTCGGAGCCCTTCCCCGATAAGATGTGGATTGCCAAGTAAGTGCGACGGTGTAGATGGAATGATTTTTCTGCTTTTTTTTTAAAAAAATATTTTTTAATGCTCCTTTCTCACACCTTTCATTTCTGGGCAGGTGGTATCTGAGTAAGCCCCAGGGGTGACGTGGGAGGAGCCTCCCATGGAGAGGTTTTACTGGTGTAAACTAGATTGAGCGCCCTGTTTCACTGAGGTCTTCTCCAAAGAAACCCTTGAGAACGTGACCATAACAATGAACTGGTTTCGTTTTCTTCTTCCTCCCTAGGGTTTTAAAGCCACCAGACAGGTTCCTCTGCCACAGCACACTTGCGACAGCCCGACAGCCCGACAGCCCGCCTCCTGGCCCATCTGCCTGCTGCGTCTGCCTCTCGCCTCGCTTAAGATAATGTGAAAAGGCAATTCTGTGTACCACTCCACGCAGAGAGTTAAATGCTTTGGCTTAACGCATTTGTAACTTCAGATATATTGCATTTGATTTTACTTTATAGATACAAATTCCATTAATTTGATAAAAGCCATTGCCCAGGTGTTTAGGGTCACGTTCGTTCGAAGCAGAGTCCACCAGCCAAGCGCTAGGCCCTTTCAGGGCAACCGTGTGAACTACAATGGGAAACGACCATGCTGAGTCCGAAACTCGAGAGGAGAAATTTTAGTTCACAAATTGATTGTAAACATTACAATTGATGATACCATCAATTAGTTTTAACGTGAAAATGACATGGGGTGTTTTAATTGGCTCTTGTGGTGTGGAGGACAGCGCTAATCTCGGGTTGGGAATCTGTCGCAGTGATGGTGACGTCAGGCTAAATGGAGATGATGATGATGTAAGAGACTGTGGGTCATCGGCTCGCTTCTGTTCTCCTCCTTGGAGCACCCGGTTGGTTTCGCTGAGTACTGCGTGTTGAAGCTGCCGAGGTGAGAGAATTCTCTTGCTTCATGAATGTGGAGCAGTGGTTTGGGTAGAAGCCAGCGTTGAGATAAATGCTCATTACCTTGCGTTTATCTCTTGGGGATGTTTCATACAGTGTCAATATACTTGTTATGAATAAGAGTTATCTGGAGCTGCCCTTTTACCTACTCCACCTACTTGTTTACAAATTCGGGCCTCCTCTGACGTGCGTCTGCACAAAAACACCTGAACTCAAGGCCTAAAACTAGGGGCACCATTTATTGATGTTTAAGTTGAGCACGTATCCCTTCATTTTCCTCACTGTCCTTGAACTCTTGTAAGTTCAAGATAATCATGGAATGTGGTTTTCTCAAGATAAGTAGTAGTCTTTTTTGCTTTTTTTTTTTTTTAAACTTTGAAGCTGGCCTTAAACACGGCCTTACTAAGGACTGCTGTCCATGTGCCTTTTTAGAAAACTCTGAGTGGCCAGAGCTCAGTTCGCATCAGCTCTGTGCCAAAGCCGGCACCGGAGGCTTTTCAGGAGGAAAACCCCCCAAATTTCTCTAAAACGTCTTGTCCCTAGAGACGAGGGAGAGGAGACTGCCTCAGTCCCTGCCCCTTGGGTCTAATGGTCGCCATGTCACTCTGAAGTGTGAAGTCGGTTTTCCCCTCCCTGTGTGTTTACGTAGTGACCACTCTGAGGCAATGGCTGCATTGTCAGGAGAACGGGGTGCCCGGGTAACCCCAGTCTCGGTTGGTTGTTAGCTTGCTTTGTGGCCTGAAGCAAATGACTTCACCTCTCTGAGCCTTTGCTCACAGTAGAGAGAGAAGGCTGGGTGGAATCAGTGGTTCTTCCGGCCCTCCCAGCGTCAGTGCCCCTTTCTTACACAGTTATTTTATTCTGGCTTTTCTGAAATGAAACTCAAAATGCAAATATTGATTTATAGTACATACACCCTTTCAAACAATGGATAAGAGTACCCTCACTGTAATACAAAGCAGAAAAAATGAAAGTCACTGTTTAATAAAATAAAACGCATTTTGATAAAGAAGCTTGGGTGTAACCACCCTAGAAGACGAAATCAAGTCACCGGATGCCTTCGCCTGTGTGCAGAGTCACCTTCACTCACAGTGTTGTCGTGGGGGATGATTTCCTGAAATGGTGGGTAGCTCTTGGTGACGTTTTGGACCAAAATCTTACAGATGGGCCCTCATTTACACAGTAAATGCATTCCTGGAGTAGTCAGCGTATATTAAAACCGTGCAGCAATTACTTTGCATTGTATGGTGAAAGGTCATTTCTCAAGTCTCACTAAGTAAAGAGAATGCTTACATATGAGATTTTCTTCCTTTTTTCTTTTTTTTTTTTTATTTGAATGTGGAAATGCATAGCCTGATTTGGGAAAAGGTCACCTGTATTCAGTTTATTTGCTCTGCACCCTGTCTGGCCACGAGCTGTTTCTCAAGTCTCTGATTTGAACTGTAACCACAGCAGGGAGTGGTGAGTGCTCTAGAATAACTTTCAGAAAGAATCCACAAAAACAAAGGAGACTGCCTGTACTCATTTCACCCAGGTATGCACCTTAATCTTAGTGACTTTGAAGAATGAAAAGCTCTTACTTCACAATCTGGGTAAATTATGGCTTCTGTATTATCGGTTTAATATCAAATAATAAAATTGAGAAAATGAGTGCTTCTGGATCTGTAGGTTCTTTGTAATTGAATGCTCTCCTTCCAGATTCCCAGGTTCGGCAGTGTCTCCATTCTGTGAGGCCTGAAGTAGGGTCAGGAATTCCCTCGATGGATACCGGCTGCGCCCCTGTCTGGGCCGGCCCTGTGGCTGCTACCGTTCCCTGTCATAGCCTAATTGCTAGCTTTAGTTCATGTTGCTCGCAGTTCATTGTCATCACGGCCAGGATGCTCTCTCTGAGGTGTACCGTCCCACTTTCATGGAGCTTCCACTGAATGATTTCAGTTGCTCTCCCAAACAGGTCCACATGTCTCCAGTGTTATAAGGAAGGAACCCGTTCATCCAATGCACTGTGCAGGCTTCTCCCATGGCCTTCTATTTCAGAATAACATTCTGTCCTGTTTTCTTTTGTTCCTCTATGGCCTGTGGCGTCAGTTCTTTTTTTTTGTTGGTTGGTCGGTTGGGTGGGTGGGTGGTAAATTCATGCATTCACTCGGCAATATTCCTTCAGCGAGTGCCCTCCCCTGTGCCAGGTGCCGCACACGCCCCAGGGAGACAGCAGGGGGCGGGGCTCTCGCTGGGACAGAGCTTGGTGTCGTGACTGGGTGCATTCCTTGGCGATTTCCCTGTCACAGAGAGCAGGGCATGATGGGAGAATGAAAAAATGGAGCCATACAGCACATTTAAAACAGAAAATGTCACATATCAACGGAAGCATTGAGATACATGAATGCAGAGGAGGGGGAAATACCTGCCACAGAAGAAAGTTATGCCAGATAATAATGGAAGTACGGTGAGCTACACAGAGTATAACTCAGTGTGACTCAGTTGTGGAATCCATGGGTGAGTGACTCAGTCTTTTAGCAAACATCTGCTGAGCCTAGGGTCCTAGGGTCATTAATAATGAAGTGAGCGTGGGCAGGAGAAACTCATAGGATCAATTCCGGCACTTCAGCACCATGGCTGTACCTCCCAGCTGTGCTCCTCAGTGACAGGACAGCGTGCAGATGGCTCTAACTCACTCTCAGGCGCCCCAGAAGTCCTCCACGAGGCGGGTCACTGCCGGTGGCATTCTGTAAGGTTTGAGTTGAGTGAGAGACCTCTTAGTAGTATGGTTTTGAATGGCATCATGTCTATATTTAAGGGTAAAGTGAAGTGGAGCTCATAAGAAACTGGTATTAAAGCGACATGAGGCCATTGAAATGGGAGCCCGGGAACTGCGAGGGTGGCATTCGCTGCATGCCATCGCAATGCCAGTGCAGCGAAGCTCGTTGGCTGTGGTGCAGTCAGGCAACAGGGGCCTTGAACATGAAGCAGCAGGACCAATGGTTTTAAATGTAAAGATGGGACAATGTCACACTTTGGAAAACTACCTACTGGGTGTCAGCATGAATATCATACTTCCCATAGTATCCCTGGCAATGAGATGTCAAAATTGGGCAGCTAACTCTGCTTCCTCTTGGGTGAGAAACAAAAGGATATGAAAAATGGTTATGTTATAGCTTTATTTCAATAGCCTTTAAGGCATAGTTTTAGTGATACAACCAAAATCCTGTATTGAAATGTGATGTAAAAAGGTCATCAGGACAATTATCTTGAGTGTTCTTGATGAATGGGACCCTTTTGCCATCGATTTCTGGTGTTCGAGTGCTGGGGGTGGGACATTACGTTTTTCTCTTCTGTCTTCTTAGACAGCTGATGTTGGAGCTGGCTTGAACTGGTGTCAGAGCTGTGCCTTTAGCATATCAGATTCAGGACTGGCCCAGCTCGGTGGCTCACGAGCTGAAGTGAGAATGGACCACGTTATTTGTTCATTCATCCTTGGTTCATTTAAGAAACGTTTGCTGATGCTTGTTAAATGAGGCTCCAGGCATTGCCTGAGGCCCTGGGGAGACCATAGCAAACAGGACTCTCAGCTGTGGAGAGTGTGCTTGGGGCTCCTGGGCAGTGTGAGCCTACGGGGTGGGCTTGTGGTTTCTTTGAAAGACAGGCAATGCCTGGGAAGGCCTCCTGTTTGGGAGATCATGTGAAGCCAGTTACATGGAGAGCTGGTTGAGTCAGCCTTCCGTAGGCGCAGACCCAGCACCAAGGGATAACTCGTTCAGGGAGGTTTCCCAGCTTCATGTAACGTATGAGAAGAATGAGAGACAATACAGGTGCAGCTTTGCTAATGGGCTAGACATGACGGGGGGCGGGGCATAGAGGACTTTGTTCTTACCCTTGGGAAAGAGGCATTAATTATGACGAGAGAAGACACATTGTCAAGGTTAGAGAATATACTTTCCACAGAAGTAATTTTAGGACCCCTCCCAGGAAGGCTTCCCCACTTATGCTTTCTTAGTAAACCCTTGACAGTTCACTTTTGGGGCTATCCTCAGACTCCAGATTTTGAAGGATGTTAGGGTGTGAATGTCTGACTTGGAGCAGTAACTCCATAGTATGAATTAGGTTTTAGATTCTTTTCTGAAAGTCATATGGATAAAGGGAGAGATGAAGAACTCTTAGGGCCCTTGGGACAGGATTGGGGTTGGCGGGGCATGCCATGGAAAGGCTTTCCCACCTATTCTACTGCTCTGTTCAGCATGAGCAGTCTTACTGGCCAGTGGAAGTTCTGTCTTCCCAAACGGCAGCTTCATCTTGGAAGTGGTTGCTGTGCACTAGCTATGTGTGTCTTCTACCCTGAACCCAGTGGGATGGTATTGGGAGGTGGGACTTTAGGGAGGTGACTACACCAGGAGGGTGGGGCCCTCCTGAATGAGATTAGTGTCCTTATAAAGGAGAACCCAGAAGGCTCCCTCACCTCTTCCACCATGTGAGAACACAGCAGAAGATGGACTTTTATGAAGGAGGAAGTGAGGCATCACCAAATCTACTAGCACTTGACCTTGGACTTCCCAACCTTCTCACCTCCAAAATTGTGAGAAATGTTTGTTGCCTAAGCCATCCAGTCTAGGGCCCTTTTGTTATAGCAGCTTGAACAGGCTAAGACAATGGTCACCTTTGGTCCAAGACCCACTTGTATTCGTGTATATTCTGTTGTTTATATGACACCTGTTTGCTGTGACTCACTGGCCTTGACATGATGTGACTGTCCTCTAAGCTTTCATGGTTTGATTTGAAATTGCTTAATGGAAAATCATAAGGAATGGGGTTGGGGAGAGGGAAGGAAAAATAAAATAAAAACTTTTAGATTTTCACTGATTATAAAAATAAATGTTTTCTGGGTGTTATGAGTGATGACATAATTTAATACATATACTTTATATTGATAATCTGACAGAAAGTTTAAGATGACCTTAACTTTCCCAGAATATCCTCCGTAGAATGCTAATAACCTTAACGTTGTGTTAAACACTTTATATGAGTAAACCCATTTTACAGATGGAGAAGCTAAGGCTCAAGGTCATTACTAACCAACCTATCCTACGTCATGAACCTAGTAAATGTTGGAGCAAAAGTTCAAACCTCAATTTTGTTACACTGAGCTTGTACTCCTTTCACTGGTTCTACAGGATGTTGATAAGGTGTGGACTGAAAGAGTATTCTGTGGTCACGTAGGTCTGAAAAATGAGTTAAAAAGTGAGTTGAACAAATCTCCACGGGACTCTGCAGAGCCTCAGTCTACTGCTCGTGGGCAACCTCAGGGACGAAGCCGTATGCGGCAGTCTCCACATTTTCCTCACCGTGGAGCCTTGTCTTCCTGTGTGGCTCTTGCAGAGGCACCGTTCTAGAAGACCCGTTGCAGGAAATGCTGCCGTAGGCCCTGTTTAATTTTTTAGAATTGCAGACGCTGCTGACCATTGGGAGTTAGGGTTTGTCAGTTTTTCCGAGTGAAGGAAGAATCCTGACTCTTATCACGTGACAAGACTTTTCATCTGATAAATTAGTGAATAAAAGGCTGAAATAAGAAATTGCTTATTTATCCCTGTTCTTTCTACGTCTGCTTTATTGTTTCCTTTAGTCTTATTTTCTTCACCCTTCTATCATTTGTACCATAAAGTAAAATTCCCTTGAGCCTAACATTTGTCAGTGTTATTTCTCCAACATTGATTTTCCTTAAATCTTATATTATGTTAGACCTTTGCATCTTCACTCGTCTTTCTATTTCCCTTCCACTTTCCCTTGTTCAGGGTTTCTGTTTTCCTAGTTAATTCCCCTCATGCACATTCATTTACACTTCTAAAAATAAGCACCTAAATAATGTAACTATGAATCAGTGAAAGAGACCAGTGGATATTATTCAAACCAAAAACATAATAACATTCCATACAAAGGTGCATTCATATCCTGATTCATACAATGCATTAATTTTATGAAAACCTCAACTAATTGTTTTCTGAATTTTTGAATACTTGGGTTATTAAAAACGACAATTTTTAAATTATAGACTTCCAATAAGTCAGAGCTATGCTTTTATTTACATGTTATGTCACTTCAATATACATGTTGACTTGTATTTCCCAGATTTGTTTGGTGATGAAACTCACTTGGCATGCTTTTCAGATAGATTATTGGACTTCACTGCAAGTACACTGCATCAGAATCCCCAGGGGCATCTGTTAATATCAGCAGATAAGTCTGTGAAACACTCATGTGGATCTGGCTTTAATGACCCACAAGCAAAATATTGCATAAATAACTTATTGCATATGTTATGTGTTATTTAAAAGCCTCTAACAATATTATACTATCTGCTCCACTCCAGTAATAGGTAAATTACTGAAAATTTAATGCATGCATTCTGTACCTGCATATATCCATATAAAAATATGGCCAATCATGGGCTGTACAATTAGATTTTCCATAAAAGAAAGGGATGAAAAACAATAGCAATTTAATTTTATTCCCCAAAGGTGAAAAATTTCCTCTCGTGTTTCCTATTTGGACAGCTTCTTTGTTGAGCTGTCTGGATGTGTATTTCTTACTGAGCTCATAAGCCATTCCCCTGCACCCTGTAGATCCGTGTTCACCGCGGTCTCTGAGAGA